AACCGTATTCCCGATGCTCACGATCCCACGAACCCCACTCTACGCCCCTCTACTCTATTCCATTCTACTCTAGTCCACTCTAGTCTACTCTACTCTACTCCACTCTACTCCACTCTACTCTACTCCACTCTACACTTCTCACGCTAAGGTGCTTGACGATTTGCACCGTCTCGGTCATCAGACGCTGTGGCGTGAGTCACAGTCCCCGCCTCCAAACTTCAACAATTTTCAAATCCAATTGTGTTGCGTGTCTAACACATGTTTCGCCTTTGCCAAGCGTTTACTTCATCCTCGTCGTGTTATTCCGCCTCATCAAACCGCACAACCAGAACTGGTCTCTGTGGTCTCTAGGGGTCAGCCAGCTAGATTTCACCGAATGCATCGATGTCTTTCCTGTGGCGTTTGAGTTCGTTTCTCACAAAACCATTTTGTTCGTCAACCCCGCCCCTCCCTCGGTCTTATCCACAAAACCGTCCACAAACGTTCACGGTTTCTAGCCTTCAGATGCGTGTCTACCGTAGAATCCCCGCGACCAGCGTTGTATACGCAGAGGTGGAGCCTCTTACAGCTGAGACAGGAACCGAGGGCTTGCTTCGGATACCACATCGCGTGCCTTTCATCATAAACTCTAATTCACAAGGTAGTGAGTGAGAAATGGCCACCAATATGCTAGATGATCTTGTCCAGTTCAGCGTGAGATTCTAGGGCGCAGCTAAACGGGTGAGATTTTTGTCACACATTCGATGGAAGCGTACTCCGTGTGAGATTGTCGCACCGAGCGAGTGCTCACATTTTGCTGACCAGTCGCAACTCACGTATTTTGCAAATTGTTCTGCATTTTCCAGTTCCCGGACCCACAAACAACATCCAGGTAGACACTGTCAAGAACGCACCACAAGTGACGGCCAGTTGGTCGTATGAAGGCGCCTGTGACGTCGTCGACTTCAGCGTGAATGTGTACGATGAGAACGGAAGTTCTTTGACGTCCCTGCAAACCGCAACTAGGAGTGTCGAAATCCCTGAACTGCCACAGTGTGTGACCCTGACTGTTGGTGTACAGGGTCGCAACGCAATAGGATTGGGACCAGAAACAAAGGGTTCCGAATTCTCCATACTTGCAGGTAAATCGCGACCGTGAGCTTAGTTGTTGTCCTCGTTTGTCAATTGATTGTTAAACCATCGTTGGGCTTAGGACTGGGCCTGGTTTCTCTTTTGGCCCGTAATGTTTATCTGGTCTCGCTGGCGTCATCGTTTCTTGATCCTTATTTTTTCATTCTTGTGTCCTTTTCCTTTGTCAATTATCCCCCTGTCAGCTAATGCTTTTATTTTACCTACTTTGAAATATACTATTTTTTGTTTTCGTGCCCTTCTTTCTATTTTGATTGATTTTATCGCTTCCTTTCTCTACATTTTTGGGACTTTTTTTGGGTTATTCGTTCAAACCTTTTTTGACTAGCGTTTCATATTTCTTGCCTTTTTCCCTGTCTTTTAAATTCATTTATTTTTTCTGTATTCTACCATTATATTATTTGCGGAGAAATGTGTTTTCATGTGCGATGTATCACTACTCCATATATGCCTTTTTTGGTGCAGGCTATTCCTCACTCTTTTGTTCTGATACACCTTTCTTTATGTTATATCATCCTTTGCCCATGACGCATTTCTGTGTTGTTCTTTGCCCCTTGTAAGACCCCCTTGAGCATGATGTCACGGCGGGCCTCTGTGGAATCATTTCGGAATGCAAGAATGATCGCTTAACTTCCCTGCACATGTATGCACTCTGATTGTGTCCCAGTTTGAAAAGCTTTCATGTAATCGGAAAAATTTCTGGATAACATGATATTGCATGTCGCTCTACAGTGTGTCATATTTGGCCAAGCCGAAATTTTTTTGGCAAATTTACCAAACAGACCACAATGCAACTACACTCATTTGCATATCAATTGGTTCTTCATGAGAAACTCACTTGAAACCCAGTTCAAACGCCTGTTTGTGATGTTCTCAAGCGCCTCATGGGTGGGTCCAAGAAGGGTTAAACGTTCTTCGGGTGTCGAATATTTGTCGGGAATCTTATGAGTAATGTTTTCGTGCCCTTCTTTCTATTTTGATTGATTTTATCGCTTCCTTTCTCTACATTTTTGGGACTTTTTTTGGGTTATTCGTTCAAACCTTTTTTGACTAGCGTTTCATATTTCTTGCCTTTTTCCCTGTCTTTTAAATTCATTTATTTTTTCTGTATTCTACCATTATATTATTTGCGGAGAAATGTGTTTTCATGTGCGATGTATCACTACTCCATATATGCCTTTTTTGGTGCAGGCTATTCCTCACTCTTTTGTTCTGATACACCTTTCTTTATGTTATATCATCCTTTGCCCATGACGCATTTCTGTGTTGTTCTTTGCCCCTTGTAAGACCCCCTTGAGCATGATGTCACGGCGGGCCTCTGTGGAATCATTTCGGAATGCAAGAATGATCGCTTAACTTCCCTGCACATGTATGCACTCTGATTGTGTCCCAGTTTGAAAAGCTTTCATGTAATCGGAAAAATTTCTGGATAACATGATATTGCATGTCGCTCTACAGTGTGTCATATTTGGCCAAGCCGAAATTTTTTTGGCAAATTTACCAAACAGACCACAATGCAACTACACTCATTTGCATATCAATTGGTTCTTCATGAGAAACTCACTTGAAACCCAGTTCAAACGCCTGTTTGTGATGTTCTCAAGCGCACGCCTCATGGGTCCAAGAAGGGTTAAACGTTCTTCGGGTGTCGAATATTTGTCGGGAATCTTATGAGTAATGTAATAGGACCCCGAGGCAGTGTATTCCGTCCACACAACTTCTCCCGTGTCTGCCTTGCGAGAGCAGTCATTCCTCAACTGACCGAAACCCACACTCTTAATCAAGATTCTACCCGAAATGCCAGCGGTTAGTCCACGGAGGAGGATGTGTGTCATAATCTTCCACAGTGTATGTAAAAAACAAACCCTGGATATATTTTACTAAGGTTTTTCCTCTCACACGATTTTCAATCTTCCTCTCGTCACTTATTTTGGTTTACTGTGGCTTTTAGCTGCTTTTGGCTGCACGCAGACCATTCATGTATTTCGTCAGTTTTTGTTGGGACATACAGGCAACATAGTTTAACTCGGAACCTCTTGCCCTTTTTGGTCATGTAAAAAACTATGCATTCTCACGCAATTTCATACAGCTTGTCAAGTTTTTTCATCAGTTTGTTCTACTTCTAGCAGCATAAATTCTTGAAATTACGATCCATAGATACTTTCAGACCAGCAAAAATGCTTTGTAACAACGGCTAGCCGAGTGTGGTGGAGAATCTTGACTTCGTTTGGCTTGCCATTTATCGCTTTTTGCAGACCTTCAAAATGATTTTCTTGAAGCCCCCGAGTTGCTTTTAAGCTTTTAGGTTAGTTCGATTGTAGAGCGTTTTTCAGAAACAGCAAGGTAACCTGAAACAAGGTTATTATCGATTACCTATTGTGACCGGAACATTCGTGGTTGTAGCCTCGCCTTAGTTATATCCACAACAGCTTTGTGTCTGTTTCCGAGCCTAGTGACTTTTGGTTGTTTTTGGAGCCTGATTATCTGCCATTCAGTTATCCACATTTCCAAGGACTTCAGTTTTCTCGGTCTAGCGAGAATAAACTCCTCGTGCTGCGGGCGCGGCAAATTTTGTCAATCAGAACCCCAAGTTAGTACACATAAAAGGGGGATCTCTATTGAATAAGTATTCTTGCTCTCCTTTTACTACCAGCATATTACGAAACTCTCTTTGCTGCATAATAACGTATGTATCCACTTCCTCAATGAGCCCACGGAGCAGGATATTTCCGCCCGCTTTAAACTTAAGGATTAAATCCTTCAACGGTAAGGAGGAGTCGCGTACAGCATACAGTAGGGATGTTGACCGTAGATTTTTCATCAGAGTGTGGTACTCTGAGAGCGCAGACGCCGATAAACATAGCGATCTTTCTACTGGACGTCCGGACTCGGATGGCCATCATTCCAGATCCGATGCATTCCGGTTGGTTTGGTATTGACCGATTCATGTGATTTACTGTTGTTAACCTGACACCATATTCACATCGGCCTTCTGGTGTTATTCCCCCACAACATGATATAACCAGAGTCAAGCTTCGATAGATTTCCTGGAAAATACTGCTCGGTCTCATCAAAATTAGTGAAGTCTATCCTGTGATGTTTGGATTTTCTTGTGGGCAGATCAGTTCGCTTTTCATACGCGTCACTTCCCTCCTCGTGTCAGATTTTCCTGACATTGTTGGTTTTAAATCATGAATTTGTTTTCTTTTCCTTACACTAAGCGACTGAAGATAGGAGCGTACATTTAAGACTGAATAGCATACGATGGGGTGTAGCTAGCTGAGGCAGCGTTAAGGTATGAAATCTATTTCCTAATGCTACTACCACTTTTAGCGACACAAGACGTATGGTTTTTAATCATATGTCAATCATATTGGACCACTTAATGACGACGCCGGCTCATGTTTCGGTGGAAGGAGTGTAAAGTTCTCAGAGTCGATTCTTGAGAGAGAACAGTATCTCTGCTTTCATGAATTTGAAGATGCTGGTCGACAAGGGTGAACAGCTCACCTTTCCCAGACAACTGGGAGAGCAGAAAGGACTAATTCACCCAAAATCAGCCCTATATTACTGTTTTTCGTACCACAAGGAGTCCCTGCTCTTCTTCTGACATCACTCCGCTTGTCAGAACCTACGAAACTGAATTCTATTTAGTGTAGCATGCATGATTAATTGCAACAGGGAATCAAGACTGCCACGACTAGCGGATTAAGTAGGGTTGGGAGATCTGGGCCGAAATACAAATGGATCTCCGAACAAGTAGAAAGGCGTACATATAAACAGACTGAACGATTATTGTTTGATATGGTGCACCCAGGCTGGCAGATAAGCGGACACACATATGTAGACATGCAGACAGATAGACGGATAGACAGATAGATAGATAGATAGATAGATAGATAGATAGATAGATAGATAGATAGATAGATAGATAGATAGATAGATAGATAGATAGATAGATAGATAGATAGATAGATAGATAGATAGATAGATAGATAGATAGATAGATAGATAGATAGATAGATAGATAGATAGATAGATAGATAGATAGATAGATAGATAGATAGATAGATAGATAGATAGATAGATAGATAGATAGATAGATAGATAGATAGATAGATAGATAGATAGATAGATAGATAGATAGATAGATAGATAGATAGATAGATAGATAGATAGATAGATAGATAGATAGATAGATAGATAGATAGATAGATAGATAGATAGATAGATAGATAGATAGATAGATAGATAGATAGATAGATAGATAGATAGATAGATAGATAGATAGATAGATAGATAGATAGATAGATAGATAGATAGATAGATAGATAGATAGATAGATAGATAGATAGATAGATAGATAGATAGATAGATAGATAGATAGATAGATAGATAGATAGATAGATAGATAGATAGATAGATAGATAGATAGATAGATAGATAGATAGATAGATAGATAGATAGATAGATAGATAGATAGATAGATAGATAGATAGATAGATAGATAGATAGATAGATAGATAGATAGATAGATAGATAGATAGATAGATAGATAGATAGATAGATAGATAGATAGATAGATAGATAGATAGATAGATAGATAGATAGATAGATAGATAGATAGATAGATAGATAGATAGATAGATAGATAGATAGATAGATAGATAGATAGATAGATAGATAGATAGATAGATAGATAGATAGATAGATAGATAGATAGATAGATAGATAGATAGATAGATAGATAGATAGATAGATAGATAGATAGATAGATAGATAGATAGATAGATAGATAGATAGATAGATAGATAGATAGATAGATAGATAGATAGATAGATAGATAGATAGATAGATAGATAGATAGATAGATAGATAGATAGATAGATAGATAGATAGATAGATAGATAGATAGATAGATAGATAGATAGATAGATAGATAGATAGATAGATAGATAGATAGATAGATAGATAGATAGATAGATAGATAGATAGATAGATAGATAGATAGATAGATAGATAGATAGATAGATAGTTGGACAGACAGACAGACAGAGAGATGGATAGTTAAATTGGTAGACAGAATGATCGGTAGGTAGATAGGCCGTTAGGCTTATATATGAAACGTAATTTCTGATGCACAAGAAAAATCTTTGGTTTGCTTTATGTTCTGCGACTTAAGGGATGATCATTCTTCCAAGTATATTTAGGTCGAATTGTTAGGAATATCTGCCGCCAGCAGTACTCGATATAATGTCACCATTCATGTCACGCATCATGTTCGGTCGCTTGACGTTTCTCGCAATCCTCGGTAACGACTTTATCCTCATAGATAGATAGATAGATAGATAGATAGATAGATAGATAGATAGATAGATAGATAGATAGATAGATAGATAGATAGATAGATAGATAGATAGATAGATAGATAGATAGATAGATAGATAGATAGGCTGTTAGACTTATATATGGAACGCAGTTTCCGGTGCACAAGAAAAATCTTTGGTTCGCTTTATGTTCTGCGACTTAGGGGATGATCATTCTTCTAAGTCTATTTAGGCCGAATTATCAGAAATATCTGCCACCAGCGGTGCTCAGTATGATGTCATGATTTATGTCACGCATCATGTTTGGTCGCTTGAAGTTTCGCGCAATCCTCGATAATGAATTTACCCGCCACCAGTATGTCATTCTTAGCAAAATCATGCTCTATCGATATCCTGAATCGCATATCTCATAACGGATTTAACTGTCCAGCAGGACTCGTCAAGCCATCATTGTATGTCTTTCTTGGCAAATATTTACCTTTGAGTCAAGGGCTCTACCGTTATTATTAGTGCGAGGGAGTTTCAAGCAAGCCAAGGAGGGCCATCAAGCAAAAAGCATTCTAATTCAGGGACAAAACCATTTATGAATATTGACAACAGTTTTCTTTTGGTCAAGACCTATAACGGCCAGACTATCGCCAGCTTCGCGGCCTTGGTATTCCGGTTTAAGGAACCTTAATTTATTAGTCCAATGAATTTTGTCTACACTTTCTCGATAGTGTGGGATAGAAAGTAGAGGGTAATCTGGTTGGTATAGATAGAGTAAGTTTATTTATTTCGGCTTAAGCGCTGTATTCTTCGTCGGCCCCAATCCACCGGTGACAGAATGCCACCAGACGTTAGCCCGACCAGTATGAATCGTTTCTCTCAACGCCTGTTGGTTGAACCCCTCTATTCCACCAGCACTATGGAGCCTCGTCACATCTGAACCCGCAGACGCTGTTGAGCAAATCTAAGACCGAAATGAAAATCTTCGACATTATCCAATTCTATTCGGCGTCGGTTATTAAGCTTCTAAATCCTCATCAGAGATATAACTGTTTTTCACGGTTTTCGTGACAATTTCAAGGCGGTTTATTCATGCACCCCGTTAGTTAAGAAATTCTTATGGTTAGGATCCCTCGTTTTAACGATAGCGGGGACGCTTATTACGTGAATGAAAATAATGGTTAATAACAAGTTGCCTCTGCAAAATTACGCAATAAATATAGTCCAACTGCCATCCCCCAAAATTCACGTGCAACTGCAAGGTAATTCAGTGATCTGTAGTTAACTGGTTGGCTGTCTTGAGAACGGAATAGCTTGAACGGATTAATAGGTTAAACCCTGAACAGTCACTTTCAGAATTCAATCCCGAGGAATGTAGTCAATCCACGAAGAGTATACGTCCTTAAGAGCAAGATCGGCGACACCTCACACAAATAAAAATGCTACCCAAAATGTTCTCAAACTTGGCGCCATCCTACAGAAAGTCTTGCCGCACAGTCGGCAACGGTAAGTCACCCAAAGAATGATCAAAATTAGTAACCAACGAGATGTTCTTTGGCTGTACTAACTGGCATACTTTGCAAAACCCTCGCGCGATTTCTAGCTCCTGGACTCATACAAAACATCCAGGTGGACACCCTGGAAAATGCTCCACAAGTGACTGCAAAATGGTCGTATGAAGGAGCCTGTGACGTCATCGATTTCAACGTGAATGTGTACGATGTGAACGGAAATTCTTTAAAGTCCATGCAGACCACAACCAATATCATCGAAATCTCTGAAATGTCTCAGTGTGTGGACTTGATTGTTGGTGTACAGGGACGCAATGCACATGGATTTGGACCAGAATCAAAGGGTTCCAGATTCTTCATACTTGCAGGTAAATCACTGTTTCTTGCACACATTTCCATCAATTATAATTCCCACCTTTGTTTTACTCGCGTTTTACTCGAGATATTTCGGTTAGCTTGAGTCTTGTCCATCTAAGCCGAGCTACAATCTCGGTTGAATTCGGTTGAATTTGGTTGTCAGTTATTGTAGGCATATTGATCTCTAACCAGTCATCCAAAGTTCGATTTGAGGACCTGTTCCCTCACAACTACTTCAGAACCGCAGTTCACCACCGGCGATCACACTGGCATTCTCGTTATCCATCTTGAGTTTTCATCATGTACCATGACGCAATGTTTGTTTCCGACTGCCAGCAGTGGCATGGATACCACTAACAAACCACCTGCTCGTTCCGAAATAAAACACCTGTTGCCTCACCTACATTAGTCAAACTGTAACCGGTCCATCTTATGGTACGCATTACTCAGTGTAGTTTGCTCCAATTAGAATAACCATTAACTATTGCAGTCCGGCTCATGGATGGTCTTACGCTAAGTGACCTTTCGATGAGGATGCAGAGTGTGTTTATCCGGACAACTCAGAATTCCTCAACTGAGTATAGTATTACTTTGTATGGACCCAAACACACACTCACCGTCATAATTGCCGGCACATCACTAAAGGTAACGTTTATCTGGTTACAAATCGCCGTGAGTGAGCATCATTGTACAGTGGTGTGACAATTTACCGGCCCCTGTAATCTCAATTGGGAGTGTGTATATGACACTTGCAGTATCCTACAAACTGGATTTCGAGGTGTGAGTATGTCCGATACTTGGTCCTCTGGCT